AGCAGCCAACTTTCCACCCATGAACATACAATTTCATCTAGACCTATAGACCTTAGTTGAGGTCTTCAATAGGGCCTGTAGCCCAGTATGTACCTACATTTAGCTCTTTTTGTAGTCCATTAGTCCATTTGTGGTGCTTCATAGTTAAATTACTCTGTATGGAGCTCTCAAGTGCACATAGAACTGAAAGCTTTCCAGTTCAAACTTCTGCTGTTACTTACGTTATACTTAAACAGTATTTATTTTTATTTTTATATTGAATAATGAAAATGCCCCTTTAGTTTGGAAAGGATATACTAATATAATTAGCCCCTGCCCCTCTTTCTGCTCACTGTCTAGGCCTCTAGGAAACATCACTGGTGACACCTACCTTGAGCTCCTCTCAACCTGTAAACCCATCTTATCACTTCATTGGCATGCCCACCCAACTCTTAAGGTCTGAATCAAATTTGCAGTTGGCATGTCGCAACAAAGTATTTTCAGAAATTACTTTAGTTGAACTGAGAAGATGGTTTTATGACTTGTGAAGGAAAACAAAGCTTATTTCCACCTTTGTAAGTGACTAGCATTTATCGTGGTAATGTCTAGGTGCAGTAATATATGTGTGTACATTTTCATGACTCACATTACTGCCTTTTAATTATTTTTATGGACTTTGTAGTAGGCCTGAGTCCTACAAATTCAAAATACCCTCCACAGGAAACTCAGTCTGACACCAGGATCGGATGGTAAAGCAACTGCCCCACCCTCCCTGGGTGTCATTGTAACAAGATCGCTGCACACCAGCTCTGCCTCTCCAGGTCACTCTACACTGTCCAGTGTGCGTTGCCATCATGAATATTAATGATTGGTGGGAGATAGCTCAGAGAGAGAGCTCGGAGAGCGAGAATGTGGTTTTCACAGAGAAGCTTGTGCATGAGGGAAGCATTGCATTGTGGGAAATGTAGTTTTCCATGCCGTACTCGTAATTCCCACTGTGCACAGCAGCCTATAATTAACACAGACTCCAGAGCACAGAGGCGGCCATGAAGAGATGAAGAAAACAGCTAACAAAAAGTATGTGCATTTTTTTTTTTTTTTAGAAATACCTCCGTAAAGGTGGAAATGGGCTTTCAAGTGTATTTAAAAGAATATTCCACCTTTTGGAGCATGTTTCATGTTACTTATTAAGGGAGTAACATGAAACATGGTCATGTTTCCCAGCCCCTTACCCTCAAACTGACACCCTCCCAGTTACCTGAATTGTGGGCTTCTTCTTCTTCTTGTTTCTTCAGGATTCTGCATTAATTTGATGCAGATCTGTAAATGAAAATACTACAAGAATACAAGTCCAGACTACTACTGCTGCAAAGGGTGTCATAGTTCTCAATGGAGTACCAGTGAAGTGACATCACCAAACTTGTAGTTCATTAATCACTTTCTCCAGTTCCATAATTGAAGGCTACGGGGCTAGGGGAGTAGCTTGAGGGGCCTGTGCACTGTTCACTTGATGGATTGATCGCAGTTGCAATGTTTTACAAGCTCCAATGCAAACACTTAATAAATGCACATTTCTTCTTTAATTCACGTGTGTGCATTTATTTATTAGTTTTTAAAAAGGAGGAGCATGTCTTTAAGCCAAAAACTTTTTTTTTTTTTTTTTTACATTTTGGATAAAGTAGAGAGAAGTTTGAATCCCTACCAGATTTGTATTGTTCTCTGTGTCTCCACTCGAGAAAGTCACTCTCTCTATCTGTTCTGGTCACCACTGTCACTAAAACAGGAATGAAGGGGAAATCTTCAAATGAAGGCACTTGTTTCGTTGACAACTGTCTAAGAGAGCACATGCCTCATGTCCCTTTTACTTCCTGCTGTGTTTACAGGACAGGAAGTGAAAGAAAATCTCTCGAATATGACACAGATAGAAAAAAAAATATTCCCTCCTCTATCGAAAATAAAATAAAAATGTTTTGGCTTTCAATATACTGTTCATTGTAGTAAGAAGTGTTTTTAATTTGTGTGGAGCTTTGTCACATCTAATGAGCTGTATGCTTTTGGAAGCAGAACTTTCTCCCAATTTGTACTCTACAATACTGCAGAATCTTTTGCTGATATAGAAATTAAGATAGCGAGTCTAATTTAATAAAGAACTGGTTTCCATCTTATCTTTATTTCCCTTTAATGTATCGGTTATCTCTTAGAATATTGTACAACATTTCCTTACTTTGTTCTCTTTATTTGTCCTTAACATTATTTAGCTCTTCCGATCTAGCTTTCACGCATCAGTTATCTCATAGATTATTATACAATATGGTCTAAATCTTTGCTCCTTATTTATCTATGATATTTTTTGCTTTTTTTGCTGGATTATTATATATTATGTTCTTACTCCATACTCCTTATTTGTCTGACATTATTTTGTGCTAGAGAATTATATATTATTTATTTACGCTATTCTCTTTATTTGTCTATGATATTATTTTTTGCTAGATTACTATATATTATGTTCCCACTCTATTCTCCTTATATGTCTATGCTTTTATTTCTTGCTAGATAATTATAAATTATGGACTTACTCTATTCTCCTTATTTGTCCATGACATCATTTTTTACTAGATTATTATATATTATGTATGTACGCTATCCTCCTTATTTGTCTATGACATTATTTTGCTTTTCTCTGGCTTGTATTTGGTTCTCTCTCTGATGCTCTTCTACCACTCCACTACTTACTATTTCTATATTTAGACATGTTATAGTCACAACCTTATTTATACTCTGTTCTGACATCTCAGATTCACTGACTGCTTTCATTCTTAACCCTGCCTCCTCTGTTTATCAGTAGTGTCCCCGGCAGCAGCTATGACCTCAGTTGTCCCCAGTCGAGCGGCCCTCAGTTGTTCCCGTCTCTCTCCATGGCTTTGTACTCTTCTTTGTCCAGCTGAATCATGTTTAGAATTCCTCATCCCATCCTCAGCAAAGGCTGCATAGCTGTCATTCTAGGAAGATCAGTGTCTTCTCATAAATCACAACATTTCACTTACTAACTTACAACATATAACATAACTTCACACGTATGTAATTCGCTTTTGACTTAATGCACTCTGAATGGTATCCACAAATTTTACTCCCTGCAGAATTCCATTTTGTATATTTCCACTGCTAAGACTTTCCGATTTTTTTATTACTTACATTTCTCTAACCAATGTGTGATCATATTTAAGATCATATATTATAGTTATTCTTGCAGAATCTTGACCTTGCCTTCCTTTAGCCAGTACCGTATTAGACCCCATTCACACCTGAGTGTTTTCTCACGTGTCTCGACAATTGTTGACATGAAGAATCCCATTATTTTCAATGCTGCCTGTTCACACCTAAGTGCTTTGTCGCCTGTCGCCTATAACTTGAAGCTTAAAAAAGTACATGAGCTTCTTTTTGAGCAAAATCTCAAATTGTAGTCCCATATACTTCAATAGGAGCACCTGAAAATTGCGCTTAAAACAACCGCATCCTCCTCCCAGCAACTAGCTTTCCATTGGCTAAAACAAATGACGCTCAAGCTTGAAATCCCTGAAAAATGCACCAAAAATGCTTCTAATCTGCCAAAAATACACTTGGCTCAGGTGTGAATACAGACTTAGGGTGTTGTCAGCTCTATGTCCAAAGCAGGACATAGAGGTGACAACACATCAGTAAACCATAATGTCGCTCCAAGTCAGAACAAGCTTGACCACCAAAGTCAGGTGCACACAAAGCTCATCACTGGTAATACTGTTACAGACAATGGCACACCGACATATTCCAAAAACGGCTTCTCTATTGATCCACAAAATAAATTACACAGAAGATGAAGAGAGAAATATAACATGTTTCACGCACACAGACGCTTATTCATAGAATAAATGACTATGCCCTGTGTCTTCTACCCCCAAAGTATATATATATATATATAAATACACACACACACACACACACACACACACACACACACACACACAGTACCACATATTCAGTACAGTAAGCAAAACATTTTATTACTGTTTTGTTTCCGAATTTATATTTGCAAATAAATAACCTGCAACATATTGAATGTGGCAAAAAAATTATAACAGTAATTTCTCCAATCTAAATCCAACCTTCTTTTCTATGGTGCTCTGTGACCAACTGGAACAAAATGAGAGCAAATTAAAAAAGAACTGTTGCCCATGGACTTTGACTTTACCTGTTATTTCCTAAGACAGGTTAAAAAAAATTTACAAAATTAAACCAGCAATTTAATTGGCTGCGCTACACAACAAAAACAGTCATTAGCTGAGAGGATGTTATGAACTGAAAGTCCAAATGTGATTGCCTCACCTCATGCTAGTATTAAACTTTATGGGACTCTCCATGTGTATTAAAGTTCAGTGTGTATGTAAAGCAGCAAACATGTCATTACGGAATATTCCTTTAATACCCATCACAGCACCATAAACTTTAGCACTGGCTTAGGACAACAGCCATATTTCTGACTTTTTTTTTAAGAGCTATAACCCCTAACATACACACACGCATATAATTTTGGGGTTTTCTGCAGTCCCTACTTGTTTTTGCATATAAACTTCATGTGTTACAAGTATCACGGTCACACGATAATTCTGCATAATTTTTCTATTCAAGCAGTTTCTGACATTTATCACAGTTCAGTAATTTTGTATATTTGCTTCTGTTTAAACAGCATATCATTTTTTTTGTTTCACAGTTTACAATCATTTTGCATCATTTCTTGTATGACTCCATCACAGCTGATTTTTAGTTTGACACCAAGCCCTTTAACCTGACTGATCCATGTACGTCCAGCATTTGCCACCTCCAATGTCCCTCTGTTACTCGCCCTTCCCGGCCACTAACATCCTTCCAGCATCCTTTTCTCTATACTGTGATCTGTGTACGTGTTACTCTGACCCATGTGCTGCGATCCTCTGTGTGTCAGACTGTGAGATGCTCAGTCAAGGAGAGCCCAGCGGGAAGTCTCTTACCAGGAAGATGAGGTTGAATGTGAGTAGCAGGTACTTGAGACATCGCAGAGATCCGCTGAGTCTCCCCATCCCGGCTACAGTCCCGATCAGCAACAGATGTCAAAGCAGAGCAACAGCAGCTCTGACACTGGGGGGAATCCCCGCCCCCTGGAGCGAAGACCACGCCCACCTGAGTGCGATCCCATCCACCCACATTGAACGGGCTCGTCTGTGCGCCACGCCTGGAGGGAACAGGAAACGTTGTATGAACCGAGCGCTGCTGGTGCTGTCACTGCTCCTTCTACTGATGGATGGTGGCTGTAGGCTGGAAGGGGCATGGGGTTTAATAAGTGCTACCTTTCACTAATTTAAATATTTATATATAGAGAGTTTTACTATACATATTATAAGTTGTGCCCTGGGCAGTGCCATCCTATTGCTCATGTTGCTAGGGGCATAAGAATAAGTAGAAATACCATAGTCCTCACTACATCAGCAGCTGGCTCTCTCCATTGCTCCTGTGATGTGGGCTTAGGCATGGGCATCCTCATCCTACATTGTACATGATGATGTCAGAGGTCTGCGACCGATTGGGCAGAAAAATGGAGCTGTTTTGGGGACCTATATGGAGAGGGATATAGGAATAAAGTCCCATTCACATATGGGCATCGCGGGAACATGCATCACCGCAACTTCATTTATGGGACTTTGCTTCCCACGTTTTGCACGCGTCTCCATTGGGTCCCTTTAAAAAAGTCACATTAACCCTTTCGCTGCCAAGCCCTCCGGAACATTTTTCAAATCAGCTGGCCAAGCCATTTTTGAATTTTCTGCAATTTTTTCCTATTGATTTGATTTTCAACTGCTGCGTTGCTAGCGTTTGTAAAAGACCCCCCAAACCATATATTTTCTGAAAGCGCAGGCCCGGTAGAATAAAAAGATGGTGATACTAAATTTAGTCCTGTTGCACTCCTTACCGAATAAAAATGTACCTGTATATCAGGCGGGTGCTTGAAGTGACCACGGATGACACCATGCAACTATCACAAAGTCCAAACTTGTCACCAGCACACCATTTAAACATTACGCAAATTCAGTTTAATGACACATGTACGTGGGTGACATACATGTGTCATTAACCTCCCTGGCGGTATGATTATTCAGGATTTTAGGTACCAAAAGCGGTACATTGTTTTTCAAGCAAATATGTTGTTTTACATTGTAGGCCTGTAGTTATGAGGAGTGGGGTGTCTTCAAAGCAGGGGGATACACGCCTTGGTGGCAGAGAGCATGTGGATGGTAAGGGATCGTTTGTATTTGGTCGCCGCAATGCCCGTCATGTGAAATTGGCTTCATGTTTAAATGGTGTGCTGGTGACATTCTTGGACTTTCCCATTGGGTCCCTTGACGCGCTCCAAATGCGGAAAGGTAGTACATGTTGCAAATTTAGTGACATGCATTCCATGTTTTTTTGGCACAAGAAAAAAAACAACTTTGCTCAGCTGCAGTTGGGGTGTCATTACCAAATAATGACAACACAAGCGTGTTCTGCATTTCTGCATGTATCGTGAACGCACGTCAAAGCTCGCACTTTTGTGTGCGTTCATGATACGCCTGTAGGTGAACAGAGCCTAAGGTATTTTACCTTATTGATCCCCCCAAGACAAATTAGCATTAACCCATGCAGTCTGTAGGAAACCCCACTGCAAAGGTAACTTTTCGACTGCTAGGAGGTAGGCTTTAAATCCTTACTTTAATCGATTCTTAAAAAAAAAAATTAAAGGAGAACTCTGGGAATGTAAAAAAAAATAACCCTTGCAGTGTGGCTACCCTGGCACTGCAAGGGTTAACTGCTCGTTTTGGTCTAGTATCTAAAAGAAAGCAGATATACTCACACCTGATTTTTGGTCCCACCAGTCCCTGCAGCCTCTTCTCCCACTGGGGTCCGGCGATCTAAGGATCTGTGATGTCATCACATCCATTGACTTGCATTGGATGTGAGAATGCCTCGGGACACTCCACAGCTGGTGCGGAGGAGGAGAGAGGTTAGTGCCGACCATTGCGGGAGCCAGATCAGGTGAGAATATCTGCTTTATCTGAGCCCCATAGACAAAACAAGCATTGACCCTTGCAGTGCAGAGGTAACCCCACTGCAAGGGTAAGTTTTTCATTTTCCTGGAGTTCTTCTTTAAGACAAATCCAGCCTGCATATAAAAGTATGAAGCTGGGTATGCATTGTTGCGCTCCGGTACCGCATGCAAAAACATATGCGTTGATGTGCTACAGTGCTGTTTATTGGTAAGGGCACACCAAGGCACCTTGCCTACGGATGTAGGTCGCCGTGAACCACAATGGGTAGCATTGCACTACTGTGCATTGTGATGATCTGTGTTACAAAAATAAGTATGTGCATCTTTTATCATGCGCTAGGCAGCCATCTCAACTGAATGGACTGCCCTAATATGATGCATACTAACATACGTGTATTGAGGCACCACAACAGTGTGAACCCAGCCTTAATACTTACCCCTCTACCTGCCTGCTCCACAGAACTCTGCTGCCTTTGAGAGATAATCTTGCTGAAAAATATTTTGGAGTTGGCCTTAAAAACATCCTTCATTAATTGATGGATGACATAGCACAACACTGCTGTATCTCTACTGTATAATTATTAATAACATTGATCAAGCCACAGAAATTCTATGCCCTTCCAAGTGCTCTACTGACTAGACCGAGAATGGGAGGGAGAGCCAGCATTGATCTGGAGCTTGGTAATCGTATAACAGAGGCATTTATTGTGATAGATGTTGAAGTTCTGAGGGAGGCAACATGATATACTGTTAAAAATATACTGCAGTCTAAACAGGTTTGTTTCTGTAAGGAACAGTATAATGAAATGACCACTATCGTAAAAAAAAATATTAAAAACTGAAAATTGTACATTATAAATGTTACACGAACTATAAGGATTAATGTAATGATAGTATTCAGTACAGCAATTCCTTCTTTTTTTTCACATGGCTTTTTTTCACATGGCTTTATTTATATGTTCTTCACATGCAGGCCAACCAGAGAAGTATCTACAAACAAATTGTGCCCCTGACGTCCCACTCAACTTCTTGCAACCAGTGATGTCACTGGTTGTCAGGTGCTCGGCAGGATGCCGGCCAGTGCTTCCCAAGTTGCTAAGAGCTGGGTGGGTAGATGTGTAAGGATCATACACATCTCCCTGCCGATATCTTAGCAACCTGGGACTTTCTGGCTGGTGTCCTGCTAAGAGTCGGGCTGGGAGATGTGCATGGCCCTTACACATCACCCCTCCCAGCTCTTGACAACCTGGGACACTCTGGTTTCCAGGAGCTGGGTGGGACTCTAGCCAGAGCATCCCTGTTTGCTAAGAGTTGGGAGGAGAGACGTGTATGGTAGATGGGTGGGGAGAGAAAAAATTAATTTGTCTCCATAGGTTGGTGAACTTTCACCCCTTCCTTCAAGTGGTGCCCAGGGCATGTGCCATATGTAAGTATAACCTGCCTTAATCTCAGTGGTCCTCCGTGCCTCCCCCTTTTATCGCACAGTACTTAAATCCAAAATGAAATCCAAATTGAAACCATCATTATCAGGGCTTGAAAAATTTGATGGTGTCTCACTAGTCAGTCAAAAATTTCACCAGTCAGCATGACCGGACTATAGCCTTGCAATTTATGTTAAAAAATGTTGGGGACAGATAGAGCTTTCTTTTGGAGGTATATAATCACCACTGGGGGGATGTTATTTTTTTTTACTATATAATGGAAAAAGTACCATAAATGTAAAAAAAAAAAAAAAGTTTCCCTACGTTATGTTCAAAAAAACATTTATTCTTACCCATATTTCAAGTAAAACATAAAATTCGGTGTCACGTCGGGTAAATAGACACCAAACATGTCAAGCCTTAAAATTTGCGGCGATATTTACCATGTGCGGCACAATAGGCGCAATCGTCGTTTTCACACGTAGGCGCACCCGACTCATATCTGCGTGTGTATGTGGGGGGCGGGGACTTAAAAAATGTTTTCTTTTTAAAAAATGTTATGCTTTATTTTTTTTATGATTCTTTAATTTTAATATTACTTTTTTTTTTACACACAGATTTATTGCTATTACATGGGGGGCTAAGAAGCCCCCTATGTAATAGCCAATTTGCATGACAGGTCCTCTTTATGGAGACATCAGGGGTCTCCAAGGCCCCTAATGTCACCTAGGGACCCCCAGAGAAGCTGATGAAGCAGAGATCGGCTTCATCAGCTTCTGTAGCTGGAGAGTGACAGTGAATGCAGGAAGTGATGTAATCTACATCACTTCCTGCATTCCGGGACTGAGAGGAGATCAAAGGGAGTTCGTATACTGAACTCCCTTTGATCTCCTGTCAAAGAGCCGTGCCGCATCGGGCACAGCGGATCTCGGGACCGGCAACGGCAGTGACAGTATCGATATCGGGGCCGACACCAGGCATTTTCAAAAGTACTTGTACTCGTGAAAATTCGCAGATTCTCAAGGCCGATATCGGCCCTTTACATTTTTAAATAGCAATGACCATCCGAGTTCCCGCGCTTGTGGGGACCTCGTCAGCCTGCTGGGGACCTGCAGATAAACCCGCAGAACCACTGCAGATGTCCACGTCGCTCGGTGAGATCGACACGCAGCCTGGTTAGAGGAATTCTGCTTTGGAGACATGTATACGCAGAACACATATTCCCAAAGCAGAATTCTTGTCCCCAAACCAGAATACTATTCTGCCTTAGGGACATGTGTTCTGCTTTGGGGATATGTGTTCTGCTGTGGGGACATGTGTTCTGCTGTGGGGACATGTGTTCAGTTCTGGTGACATCTGTATTTAGCGCTGGTGAGAAACTGCCTTAAAATCATCAGTCTGTTGTTTTAGAAAAAAAATGTCACCTGTCCCTTTAAGAAAAAGGATTGGTAATTGGTATTGGCAAGTACACGAGGGACATAACTTGTACTTGTACTTGGTCTTAAAAAAGTGGTATCAGGACATCACTAATTATTATATTGAAATTTTCAATCTTTGAAATATAATAATTATGGTTTTAATTTCTATATAATAAATTGTGATTTTATGATCAAATAGTATGTGCCCTCATGTAAACCCCTTGGTTTTGGATTTAAGCATCT